ACCTGCTTCTAGCTCTGCTCAGATCCTAGCCCTTCACAAGGCTTTCTTCTTCAGTAATCCCAGAAAATGCATAGGTATCCCATGTCCTTGTCAGAACTGTCCCCAAGAGATTTTCACACCAGAGAGGATTGATCTCAGCTCTCCCATTCCTGAGAGCTCACAGTCAGCTCTTTAGCTGACATCCCCCAGCTGTGTCATCATCCTTCAGTGCTGACTTCTCTCAAAATGAAAACATGAATTCTTGTCATCTCTGTTTGACTCCAGCACTTTCCTCTGTGATGCCTTTGCCTCTTTCTTGGCAGCTGGGCAACAGTTGCTATTCTTTCCTGTTCCTTTTTGCTATTACAAAATGTCTGGATCCATCTTTGATCTTCCACAAATGACACCTGAGCAAAGATGACTTGGCTGTGGTCCCCATTACATCCCATGCATCAGTAATATGGCAGGGTAGCACAGCCTTTGTTTCTAGAACTAAGCAGGCTACTTGAGCATCCCTTTTGACTTTTTTATTGCCTTTTTCCTGATGTCTATGGCAGCTCCCCTGTCTTTGATGAGTTTTTCTGGAAGTCACTTTGTGAATGTCAAACTGTGGGTGCAAAGCAGGCAGGCAGGAGGAGCACAGCCAATGTCTGCTCTGCCAACCTCCCCAGAGCCTGCAGGCCAGATCCCCAGATTCACTTCCAGCACGGGCAGGGAGCTGCAGGCAAGGGTGCAGGACTGTGTGCTTGCTCATCTCTCTGGCACGAAGAGGAGAGAACTGAGTGTGGAATTAGGAAGGTGCGGAACATGGTGAGGGCAAGTGCAGTCAAGAAAGCCAGAGACCAGGAGATATTACAAAGGGGTTTCTGAGGCGAGAGGAAGGATACCGTAGAGGAGGAAAAAAACCAACAAAAAACCAAAACAAAACCACAAAAACTCAGCAAAACAGAAGACAGTAAAAGGGAGCACAATAATGGGCATGAATTTCTCTTTCTTCTGCCCCATGGCAAGCTGCCAATCTCTTTCACACAAATTCCTCAGTGCTACAAAAAGCAGTCCTCATGGACACACCTGCCTTGAGATAAATTCTTTTAGTCTTGAAAAAAATCTGGGCACTTCTTCAATAAAGAGCTTTGCTTCTAAACTGCTTTTCCCTTGTGAATTTTGGCAGTAGCTCACACTTGGAGAGCTGCTGAGAACCCTTTCTTTAATCAGATTTCCCTGTCTTGCCCCAAGGGACTGTGGGCGAGTCACTTCCCACAGCTGTCCCTCAGCTTCCTACTCTGTGACATGTGGCTCACCACAGCCTCAGAGGGCTGGAGGAGGCATCACTTGTGTGTGAAGAGCTGTGAGATCCATTAGGGTGACTAAGCAGTACATGACTTGCTGCGAGGGCAGTGTAACCAGCACTTGGGTAGAGCAGGAGGTGGGACAGGCACAGGAGGATGGTTTAAAACACTTTGCTGCCCAGTGCAAAAAAGTCATTAAGTGAATGGCAGAGGAGACAGTTGAGTTGTGCGGTGACAGGACTTATTTCCAAGGTTTAAGACCAGAAATTACAAACGTCCTTAGGAGTACTGGCTAAACAGACAGGGAAAAAAGCAAAACCCAAGCTGAGATTTTCCAGATTCTTCCCATGCAGGCTGCCTCTGAACCACCTCATGTTGGACACGTTCAAGTGTGGCAAATATCCTATTTTTGCTCTGAGAGAAGTCTCCCTTCTTCACTTGTTTTGAACAAAATTAGACTAGGCTGTTGATGAGCTTAAAAGGGAATCCAAATTATTTGCAGCATGGTGCAACAGAAAAGAGCATCACTACAGTTCTGTGTACATGGCTAAAATTATGGGCATTATGATTTCTGATGGAAGGAGAGTGAAGTTTCTAGTAATATAAGAGTAACCTGGTCATTCTTCCCTATTTTCTTTCTTTCTTTAATTTCTAACCAAGTCCTACTTCACTGTGAGAAAGAGGTCAAGTGTTGTTCTTTATGAGTCAAAGTTGCCCTAGTTGGCTTAACTTTGGTTTTAATACCATAGCTGGAAAAACATATGGTAAGTTTACCTCCTCTCTTTTGATAATTTACACTCCCACCCTCCAAAAACGATCAAGTACCAAAACAATTTTTAGAAAAAGCAGGGTCTGAAGATAGGGATGCTGTTATGAGCCATGCAAAGTCTTATTCTGCCTTGGCTGCAAATTTAATCTGAAGACTTGATCAAGTCAGTTAAATTCTTCTTATGAAGTTTTCCCTCAATAAAATTGAAAATAGTTACTTGCCTTGAAGAGATGCTGTAAAGATTAAGAAAGTCTTCAGATAGTTTATTTAAGATGTTAAAATCTCCTAAGAATTATGTAGAAGCTTCAATTAGGATTTATAAAAAGGTTATTTAAAAACACAAGGGGATAAAAACTATCATAATTGAAACTAATAATGAAATAATCATGTTGAAAAACTCAGATGTGAAGGGTGGAACATAAATCTGCAGTTGCCTGGCAGAGTATATTCAGCTCAGAGAAGCGACTGCTCATTATTCGCTATGGTGGAACAAAGTCATTATAGATACATGAGGAAATTCTCGTAGCCTATGATACTAATTAACAGTGTCTTCCATTATTATTGGTCTTAATTATTTGTGATCTTAAAATACTTTGGGCCTTTAGCTGGGATCTGTCCCGGTGTGGTTGGTACCACAGACACAGAAGATAATGAAGTACACTGCCCCAAAGTTTTGGTCAGGGGTCCCGAATGTCCAGCAGTTTACATCACACTCAAAAGTGATGTGCCGTTACTCTTGTTGGTACACATGGTCAAAGCCAAACTTTCTTCTTTTTCCCCGTTTCATTTGGAGCAGAAGAAGGTTGCTTATCTCAGCGTCTAGTTTCTTGGCGGCTATACTGTGTTTTCTTGGTGACATATCAGTGTAGTGCAGCACAAGTGCTGTTCTTGAAAACATGGGTCTGTTCATATGATTAGGTATCTGTAATACTGCACAAGCTAAACTAAAGTCTTACAGGACTCTTTCTTCAGGTAATCCTGCCATATGAGTGAGGAGGCACCAGCTGCTCCTTATCCTAAACATCCAGTTGCATACAATTATGTTTGTAGGTGTAAAATAAACATGCTCTCTGCAGGAAAGATTCCTCTGCAGGAAAGATTCCTCTGTCAATAGTAGCTACTAACTTGCCACTTCACTAAACGTTGATCTCCACCAACCACGTACATCCAAGGTACCAAACTGAGCGTGGTTTGCACACGCCAGTGTGGACACTTGCTTTGTCAGCTTCATGGTCTATTTTGTTTGTGTGGCACTCTCACCCATAAAAGGTGTTGTGAGACATGCCATCTCTGGGGATCCATTTGGTATCCCACCAAAAGTCATTGTACTAAGGCAGGTCCTGGCTCCTCCACCAGCACTTGGCTGAACACAGGAGTATGGCTGGGGATACCTTCCCGCTTTCAGAGAGAACCCTCTTGTTTTGGAAAAGGCAGGGAGACAGCTGGCTGACTAAAGAATGCCTTTATAGGTCACATGCCCTTTCCAGTAGCTTTGCAATAGATTTAAAGAAAAATAAATAGTGGGTGAAAGTATATCAGGATAGGGGTGCACATGAATTCAGAGCGTGCGAAGATGCTGATTTCTGTACAACCTGTGAAGACACTTGAGAGGAGCGTGGGCATGTATGGCCTGGTCAGAGCAGGCTGGAGATGATTCAAGGGCACCTGTGTGTGGCAGAGCAGGGTGCAGCACAGGCACAGCAAGCACCATGTTGTTGCTGTTAACAGACACCTCTGATGTGACTTCCACCATCCATGACACTGCATAAAACCAGCAGCAGCATCTGCTCCATTCATGCTGCTTCACACCTCTGGTGGCCTTTGTGCCATTCTGGTTTAGGTTGGCTGTAGCAATCCCTGTCTCTAGGATGTTTTTAAACATTATGGAATTGTAAAGTTCTCCTGTAGAAAGTACAGGAGAAGGGAAAACCGCAGAGCTCCAAGACAGAAGGACTAAAAGTAAATTCAGTGCAATAGAGGTCAGTCTAAACAGATTTAAGACTACACTAGTAAATGAACACATCCTTTTCATTACTGAGGCAACCAAAGTGGGGAGAATGGAAACAGTCTGTTATAGGTAAAGCCAAATGAGATGTTGCCTAGTAACTCTCAGCAGGGAAGCATTTTAACCCAGCCAGTTCAGTGAAGCTGATGTTCTGATTCAGAGATTATTTTCTCTGGGAAAAAAATCTGAAAGCAGGAAAGCTCAATTTAACAAAAATAGGATTTATTTTTCCGTTAGAGCAAACCATAATGACAATGCTTGGGATAATACGGAAGTATTTACAAACTTGTACAAGAAAGAACAGACAAGGCATGTTTTCAGCAAAAACATCATTTTACTGAACCTGTTTTTCGATGCCAATTCATTTTCCCCAAATACAGTAAATTTCACATTCATTTTTATTTAATAAATATTATTTAATATTTACATTATTATCATATTATTGCTGCAAGAGAAAGTTTCTGGAGCAAACCTTATTTTCAGCTCTGCTATTGGACACAGAATCAAAATAATTCATTTAAAATAAGAAAGACTCTGCGTCTCCACTGGTTCCATTGCCTGGAATAGTTTTAATTAGCCCTCCTTCAGGACTTTGCTTTCATGGGTTCCTGGAAAACTCACTTGGCTTGGCTAAAGGTCTCTCACATTAGGGTAAAAAAAAAAAAAGCCAAACCTTATTTGAAGATTCATGGTATTTTTGCTTCCCTTTAGAAAGATACAACGATTTTACAGAAGTATAAGTTGTGGCATGATCAGCCATGTATATCTGTGTTTCTGGGTGTGACAATTACTGGTCAGAACAGACAGTTTCAGGAGAGCAAGTCATTTTAGCAGCCTCAATACAGTTAATGATGATAGTTATTACAGTGAACTATTGCACAGGTTTTTTTAAATTAAGAAAACATAGTAAGCAAATCAAAACATCACACTAACCATGAAAAGACAGACCGCAAAAGAGTTATGACAAAAATATGTATTTTATTAACAAAAATAATAACTGGAAAACAAAGCTACATGGCATAAGAACTAAAATTTGGGTTATATACTAAAAGCATGACAGTTTTTCACACATGGTGTACAAGCAGAGAAAGGACATTCTGTAAGCCACAGAGATCGTCTCACCGACCAGAGCCTGGTTTGAAGCTTAATGAAACACTGTTGATACAGAACCTCTGCCCAGAAGGTGTGGGACCATCATCAAACACATGGCCTAGATGGGCGTCACACTGCAACAGAAATCATTATCATGTTATTATTGCATTATTACAGAATCACAGAATCAATTAGGTTGGAAAAGACCTCTCAGATCAGAGTACAGCCTTTGACTGATCACCACCTTGTCAGCTAGATCATGGCACTCAGTGCCGCATCCAGTCATTTCTTGAACACTTCCAGGGATGGGGACTCTATCACCTCCTTGGGCAGCCCATTCCAGTGATTAGCAACCCTTTTTGTGAGGAAATTCCCCCTGATGTCCAGTCTGAACCTCTCCTGGTGCAGCTTGAGGTTATGTCCTCTTGTCCTATTGCTAGCTGCCTGGGAGAAGAGGCTGACCCCCACGTGGCTACAACCTCCTTTCAGGCAGTTGTAGAGAGTGATGAGGTCACCCCTGAATCTCCTTTTCTCCAGGCTAAACAACCCCAGCTCCCTCAGCTGCTCCTCATAGGACTTGCCTTCTAGACCCGTCACCAGCTTCACTGCCCTTCTCTGGACTTGCCCCACCATCTCAATGCCCTTCCTCAACTGAGGGGCACAAAACTGAAAACGGTACTGGAAGTACCAAGCCTCACTGGTGCCAAGGACAGGGGCAAGAATCACTTTCCCACTCCTGCTGACCACACTAATTCTGATACAGGCCAGGATGCCCCTGGCCTTCTTGACCACCTGAGCATTTCTGGCTCATGTTCAGCTGCTGTTGACCAGCACCCTCAGGTCCTTTTCTGCTGGGCAGCTTTTCAGCCACTCTCCCCCCAGCCTGCAGGGCTGCACAGGGTTTTTGTGACCCCAAGGGCAGCATCCAGCACTTGGCCTTGTTGAACCTTTTAACATTGGCCTCTTCCCATTGATCCAGCCTGTCCAGATCCATCTGCAGAGCCTTCCTACCTTCCAGCAGATCAACAGTCCCACCCAACTTGGTTGTCTGTCAGTTTACTGAGGGTACTCTCAATCCCCTTGTCTACATCATCAGTGAAGATACTAAACAGGACTGGACCCAATACTTAGCCCTGGGGAACACCACTGGTGACTGGAAACCATTATTACTGCATTATTACAATTGCAATTATGAACCATCATTATGATAGTACCTACTGTGCTATCCTGAATTAAGAAACTTTTATTAATTCACTGTTGAGCTGGGGGGGGGGGGAGTCTTAGGGAGAGACTAGTAATACAACCTGGAGTAATCACCTCTGGCCAGTGGGCAAATACCTGCCCTCTAAACAAGCAGGTCCCAGAAAAGGAAGTCAAAAAGGTATTAGTGCCAGAAAGTACAAAGGAAATAAATGGAAGTATATAGACTTCTCAATATATTATGAAAATTTCAATTAAGACAGTCACTGTAGGATGGGAACACCTTTTACAAAACACCTGAACAGCCCCCAACCTCTGATGCAGGCTGGGCCCAGCTGCTGCACTATATCCAGCTTTGCACTGTACTTGGAGAAGGAAAAGGGTCAATTGGAAAAAAATGCAAAATAGAGCAACAGGACAATCAGCACATTAAAAAACATTGCATAAAAAGAAACATTTGAAAGAACTCGATCTTTCTAGTCTAGAAGAGAGATGACTGAGGGAGTCAAAATAGCCATCAAAATTAGAAGAGTGGCTTCTGTGAACCACAAAAATCCACAAAAATAGCTGTGGAGATGCAGGGTACAGCGACCACCATGCATGGCAAAGAGTTCAATACAATAACAAGCTTCAATAGCTGCAAAGCAAACAGTATTTTCCCCAAGGTCCAACCAACAGTAGGAAGATATGCAGGTGACAATTCATTACCTAGTAAGGCTGTGTTATGTCCACCTCTGCATGTTTTAAGAACATCTTCAGCACATATTTAGCAGTGGAACTAGGAGAAACTATCCCTGTGATGAGCCAAATGCATCGACCCTATCTCAGAGATTCTTCTACTGCCTCTTGTCACACCCTGCATTGCAGCTGAGGTCCTTTGAATAAATTTTCTGTCTAAACTCCAGCCCTCGGTTATACTTCCACAACTACCTTCCCCAGTCACACACTTTGACTGCCTATATTTGATACTCCACTCATGTTTCATACCAAGAAGTCAGACAGAATGGTTCCAGTGATACTGTAATTCTCACTGTTGTATTTAGGAAGATTCCTTCATGGGCACAAAGAAAACACATTTGTTAAGATTTGTATCTTTGGGTATCGTTTCCAAAATAAACATACCTGTTTGCAGACAACTTCAGTTCTAGTTAATCCCAATGACTTATCTGGTCGTCTCATGATATTGGTCTTACTTTCATCTCTGCCACAAGTACCATAAGCCTCAGAAAACGACGGCCATCCAGTCCCAGAATTGTACTTCTTTTCTGAGCTATAGTGGAAACCAGATTTTCTTGTTAATTAATAAGTGAGATATTACCAAAAATCTGTTTCTATTAAGAACATTGGCTTTTCTCCTCATTCCTGTCTTGTACCACTATTAATAATATTTAGCACAGTAGAAGTCTTCTCACTGGCATCAGACTGTGCTGGAAACTCTTTTCCAAAGGGAATTCTTGACCAGCCCACAGCAGAAGTTTTTGACTCACTGTTTGTTTTTGACTCACTGTTTCTATTTCAACCACAGGTTGGCATTTCATAAAGCTTGGAAAAGGGTGTTCCCAACAACTGAGCATGGTGTTCATATGAATGACACCCACTAAATTGCAGTTCAAAGCCTGGCCCAATACAGCACAATCTCAGAAAGTTTACAAGAAGAAATGAAGAATGGACAAAGGCTGGGTTGGCCCACCAGCCCAGACCCACACCTGATGATGATGGCTTTGTCTGGCAGTCAGCCATCAGGCTGGTTTGGAAAATCAAACAGAGCCTTGCTCAAACCATCAATCAACCAATGAGAAATCCTCACAGCACAAAGATCTACTTTTCCCAAGAGATAATTGCAGCAATCAGAAACAGCACTACAGAATATCAACTTGTGGATTGCCTCCTGTTAACATCCAGGATGACAGACACTGTTTAGCTGCATATTAAAACCTTACGGCATATTGGAAAATGCAATCAGAAAATCTTTTTGGGATTTAGGACAGAAATGAGATAATCCCTCCTATTTAAAACTGTGCAAGCTTTAATAGCAATATGGACTTTCTCCTATCAAAGAGGGACCTAGAGTGAGCTACAACAAGAAATGAAGATAGATCCACATACTTTTCAGATTAGTGGGCTGGAGACTCACCTTGACTCTTGATTTCTCAAGTTTTTTCCCAGTTTCACAAACTCAATGCTCTTACTGGCATCTAGTGGTGAATGGAGACATCAACACCAGTAGCAGCTCTGGGTCAAGGGGACTAGTCCGTTTCTTAACACATAATTTAAAACTAAGTATGTACTGTATATCATGTATATTCTGGTGGAATATTAACACAGTGAAGAAAAAGCTGAAAATAGATTGCAGCGCTTTTTAAAAAGACAAGATAAACAAGCTAGGCAAAAAGTTTAAAATATCCAACCCGAAGAACAGTGCGTGCATCAGCATGGGTGTTATAAGTATCTGTACAGGGTTGGTTTTGAGTAATGCAACTCTGGAAATGAAAGAGGATTCGCAAGGACAGAATGACCAAAGGGTAGTTTTTGTGAGGGCTGTTGCTTAGCCCTTTACATCAATGCACAAATACCCATGAGAAATGCTCTCCTTCCTCCTCCTCCTCCTCCTCTCTGTAAAACTGGAGAGAAACAGGACACAGGACAGAAGTAGGCTGCACTGAAGCAAATGCAGTGGACTCTGTGTTTGTATGTGAAGGTCCTCGGGGCTCCAGCACTATTTCTTTCCAGCCAAAGAGGGCTCCCTGCTTTCCCTGCTAGAAAATCACATTAACACTGTGCCTACCAGCCACCGAGTCCCCAAGAATAACGTGGGGGAAAACATATCTGTACGTGACTTCTGAGTTTCCCTGACATATATCTGTTTTGATTCCTTTTTATCAGAACTCTGTTTTTGTCATAGAGGTCCTTATGTTTATTCATACTTAGATACAAAGATCCTCTCCAAGACCCCATAGAGCCAAGGAAGGCCTTTAACGCTTTGTGAGTTTTGCATCTGACCCTGACTGACTCTGTCCCTTACATGTCACTCACAATACTTAAGTTTATTGTAGATGTTTTCCACTGCTAAAGAACAATCCTTTGAGCTGTTAAATTAGCTCTCAACAGAAATGGCCTCTGTGTGGTTTTACTAACAGTAATATCACTTAGATTCCCTAATAGAAACATTTTAGTACCCAAAAATATTGCTGTTCAAGATAATATTTGTCCTTTGAAGTATTTCACCACTTAATTTATGGATAAATGGACTTTCCCTAAACATATGCATTAGATTAGCCTTCGACACACCATTCCTCCAGCACATGTCATTTACTTTGATCCCTATTTCAGTCATCCTGGATGGAATCCAGATAATTCTAAAAAGTGCTTTTTGCTGTATGAATCTCAGCTGTAGGTTTATGGTTTGATGAAGGTTTGAGATTTAATTAAAGCACCACAATTTGCTATCTATAAAGGTTAGAGGTTTGTTCCACGTATTTCCAACTCTTTCAAATGAATATTTGGTAGTAGAAGGTAATAAATTTTGGTATAAATGTATACACACATGTTTCAAAGAAAGGAAGAAATACTTCATGTTTACCTGTAGGTAATGATCTAATGCATTTGAAAAAGAAAGGACATTTTTAATGGACTAGGAAATAAAAAAGATGAATGAATCTCTTATCCAATACCATTTCCCCCCTTCATTTTTAGCGTTCTCCACAACATAATACATCAATGGAAAACATATTTCAGATCATTTTGCACATTTAATAATTTCAAATTTTCTTACAAGGCTTTTTTTCTGACAGTTCATTTTTTTTGATATGTGAGGCTCAGCATTATCTTGTGCTTTAAACAAAAGTACTTTTATTCTCTGAGAGCTGGAGAGTGCAAAAAGCAGCCTGACTGTCGGGTTATACTGTTGGTTTGTTACTAGTTTAGCAGCAGAAGCAATTCCCTCCAGTGCTTGTCTCTCTTCATGTTGGTCTGTCAGTATCTATTGTCTAATACAAAAGATACTGAAATTGAAGGAAAATTTGAAGGAATTGAAGGAACTCTCCCACAGCTTATTAATTTAAAATTTCTCTAATTTATGTGAATTTTCCAGAGGTGGTATTAGGTTTTGTATTTGTCTTCAGAATATTTTGTAATGCTGGAACTTTGGAAATCAATTTATTCAAAAGTCTTTATTAGCAATCCTCTACAGAAAAAGATACATTTAAGCAAATGCATACTTGCATAATAACAGTTTTCTATACTTGGCCAAAGGAAAATTAACCGTTCAAAATGATCAGCCTCCATTTTTACAGTTTAATTGCTTATTTTAGGTTTATTTTCAATACAGCCATTACATATTCCCTCCTTTCTTACTATCCAGATCTTGTTCCTCAGTTTCCCATCTGAAGTTCTGCTTTGTGATGCATTCTTTAAAGTCTTCATAAATATGGGCATATCAGCCACATTTCATGGAATTGGGAATAATAATAAAAAAGGGCTATTTTCTAGACCAAAAAATAAAAGAAACTGTCTTTTCTGGTTCAGTTACAGAGAACAGAATACCCAATGCACATCCCACTCCAAGGCACTCTATTTCCTTTTACTTAGATGTTAATGAAGTCGCAAAATATATAGCACTGTAAAGAGCGCTGGGGTTAACAGTTCAGTCATTGGCAGTCAGGTTTTAAAAAGTAGATGTATCCAGAAAAGCAGGAGTAGTGGAATTTAATTTAAGGAACAAGTAGGGAGCGAGGGTCTTAGCTCCAGTGAGAGGGACCCAACAGTAAGAATACCACAACAGCTAGACAAAGGCAGACAGAAAGTCTCCACAGCCCAGCAGCGTGAGTGGCAGGAGATGACAACTATGGAGGAGCACAAGAACAGAGCAAACACACAGTGATACTAATGCACAAATACACGTAATTTGTGGCAGCCTGTGGCTTAAGGATCTCTTAAATAGAGAATTATTATCAACTCGAAAGAACAGTGTGTGGCAGAAGAACGTGACAGACCCTAATGCAGCAGCTGTCTGCTGGGCACTGGAGACCCTCACATGCTCGAGGAAAAGGCGTACCATGTGTCTGTATCAACACAGGCATCCTGGAGGTCCTATACGTAGGGACTGCCCCTCTTTCCATTCCCCTTCCTTTTCACTTCCACTCATGAAATGTCACTGCCCCTCCTGCCACAATTAGGACATGTTAAAGTCACTACGAAATTCTAAGGATGTTACCTGAAGAGTGGAGCATTGCAGCACACGCAGTAGTATATTCCCGATTCCGTGTTATTCAGGTAGATCCCACTAAATGGCTTTTTAAAAAGGAAGGAAAAAAGAGAAGTTAATAATGCAGGTCTTTGAAAGCTCACCATCTGGAACAAGCATGTAGGAATCAGATTCAAAACAGGAGAAAAACCATAAAAAGAAGGCTTCACAGGGGGGCTTTGAAGAACAAACATTAGCAGCCCAAAGATATGAAGGGGAGGATGCCTTTGGATTAATAGTGAAGAAAGACTACCCCCTACCCCAGGAAACTTTGAGACCAGTCAGATGCATAAATCATCCAGGTACCAGGGATGGAGTCGTGACCTCCAAGGAACTGGTGAAATGTGCAGGATCCCAAAGACCATGGCTCTGTTATGGAGTGCCACAACTTTAAAGTGGCTCTACAAAGGGACTCTCCTCCTTCCTGCATGGTCTGGAACTCAGATCCTTATTTTACAGATATGAATTTGGGCAGCTGACTGATTGAATCCCATGGTACACGCTCCATGTACGCAGAAGTCCTGGCTCTGGGCTGTGGATGCCAGTGCTCCATCCACAAGACTAAATGGCCTCCATCACAAAAGGAAGCAAAGTATGGGGACAAGGTAGGTGGGTGATCTGGCACACGAGGGATAAGCAATCTCTTGAATTGAGTGCTATGTACAACATTTCCATGGCTAGTCTACATACGGTCAAAAAAGGAGACTACAGGACAAAAATACAATTTCCCTCTCCTCTGGAGAGGCCTCCACTACTGCCACACAGACAGCTGAGCTGGCAGCAAAGCATCCCAGAAAAAAAACCAACAAAATATGAAAAAAATGCAGAATGCTTTTTTATCTTCAAACCAGTCTGTGTCAGAACAAAATCCACCTCATTCAGTATGTTGAGCCTAACTTTCATCAGCAGGAAGGCAGGGGAAATCCTGGGAATTCCTAAGCAACTGAGTGGTGACAGCTCCCCAAAGCAGGTTTTTCTCAGGTCAGCAGGCAGAGGAGTTGGTTTACCCTTAGACAGCATTAGTGCCTTTGCTTACCGGTTCAGTTCCTTTTTCTCTTGTAACATAGAATTGCTCCGGAGTCAATTTCTTTTTCCAGTCTGTAGTAGCACTTGCTTCAGCTTGTTTAGTCAGAGACCCTTTGTCTCCAATTAGATGTAGAAAGATAATTTGTATTATTTTTAACACTATTTTAACTTAGACTGAGTAGATGCTTTCCATCATCATCTTAGTTCTCCCCAAGTTTCTATGGGTACAGACAGAGCACAGTGGGCAATTCACGGACATGAGCAAGGGTGAGTGCAGGACATTGCATCTGCTTTCCATTTGATGTGCTACATCCAGAGAGCAGCTCCAGCAAAACACTTGGGAAGGCTTATAATAGAAACGGGCACCTATGACCCAAAATACCACCTGCTCTCCCTGCACATCCCTCTCTTCTGGCTTGGGATAACTCCTGATCTGTTCATGCTCCTTCCTCATCCCTGGGTATCACTAAAAGGTTTGGCAGTTTGGAAACCCTCAGAAACCAGATCTAATGTTCATGTATGAGCTGTTGAAGACTAGCAACTTTCACAGGCCCAATGAAAACCAGTGCTAGGAAGGAGCACTGGAAGAGAGAAACAACTACACCCCCTTTCTCTTGGTCTGTAGGTAAGTGAGGGACATGCAGCAGGAGGGCAGAAGTCACCCATCATAGCGCGAAATTCCAGCAACGCCTCCTGCCAATCTCTACACACCACGGAGGTGGTATGGAATTGGCAAAGAATTAATAGATTGGCTGAAAAAGAGCAAGTAAAATAGACTAATACCTTCCTAATCAAAAAGTCTGAGGTGGGGAACTACCTCCATGCCTATCTCCCATCAGCACAGGATCTCTGAAAAACAATCAGCTCCTAAGTGATGCTTGTCTGCACTCATCTCTTTCAATGCAGAGGTTTGGGGGGCGGCGAGGGGGAAAGAAGGGGGAGAATGAATTTGAAAATCATAGTTTAAGCAAAAAACCCCCAGAGTTTAGCCTGCCAGTTCAAGAGGGAAACCTATAGCATGCTAACCGGCCAGAAGACACCGAGAACTGGAATGCCCGCCCACCCCACCCCCCCCCTCCACCTTGCAGGGCAGCTCCTGCTCTTTGCCCCTCCCCGAGCTCCACGCGGGGGAGTTCATCTGCCTCTGGATACCCGTGCCCCTGTGGGGGCTACCTGTGCCCCCGTGGGTACCCGTGCCCCCGTGGGTACCCGTGCCCCCGTGGGTACCTGTGCCCCCGTGGGTACCTGTGCCCCTGTGGGTACCTGTGCCCCCGTGGGTACCTGTGCCCCTGTGGGTACCTGTGCCCCTGTGGGCAGCGCGGGCGCAGCCGCCGGAGCGGAGCAGGACGGGGAGGAGGCCGCGGCTCCCGAGCAGCCTGAGGGGCAGCCGCGCCGCCATGTCGGGGGGGCGGGACTGGGAAAGGCGCCGAGCGTGATCCCTGCGCTCGGCCTGAGCTGTCAGACCTTATAAAAACAATGAGTAAAGAACCCGCTTAAATGCCGATGCAGCCTTTGCAGGTAAAGGTTTCGATCACTTCTTACCGAGAGGCAAAGAGATCAGCTTAAAAAAAAAAAGTCAACAATCGGTGCAGCCATAAATATAACAAAATCCTGCTGAGGCAATTGCTTGCAGCCATTATAGGTTGTTTTTAAGGAGAACAAATCTGGTGCTTGCATGCCAAAGTGCTGTCGCTGTCCTGGATGCATGTTACAGGCATTGCTCTCACCGATCGAGGGATGGCGAAGGGATGTGCTCTCTGAGGGGTACTTGTTTGTGGGTGTGATTTGCAGTCACAGCTGCTTTGACTTGGTCTATAAATATACCTGTAGTAGGACATGTGTTTTAGTTTGCCCTCTTGTCCTTAGAAGGTAGACCTAAACACAAGTTAGTTTTCCAGGTTAAGCCTTAATGCTGTTGTTTGCTTTCCTTCCCCAGTAGTTCCATTTCTGATTTGGTTCATCATTTCTGAAGGATGTGGAAGGAAGTGTTTTGATTGCACTGGATAACGAAAATAATAATGGTGTTTAATACAAAATTACTTTCTTTCTAGTCTATTTCTTCTAGCCTAATTCTAATCAAAGCTAAAAAAATAGTGTTGTGTGATCAGTCCTGTATATACACATTTATTGAACCATCCTTATGTGTAAGACGGAGTTCAAAGGCAGCTGAGGACATCCAACACAGCATGTGATCAGTACCGTGGCTCTAATAACTCCCTCTGCTTGGATCCACGAAGTATTGCACCAGAAGATAGATATCAGCAAAGCTCGTAGATGGTTGTGCTCACTACCTGCTGCAGCAGGGGAGAGGGGGCACACACTGGATTTGTGGCTTTGTCCTGTGTAATAAGACACTGTGGAGTGAAGCCAGAGTACCTTGAGAAAAATCCTGGAGATGTGATGTCTGTGAGTCCTCGGGATGTTAGGAGAGGAATGTTGCTGAGCGGGGAGGAGAGGGCTTTGTCGGGGCTCTTGGTGCTGGCAGGGGCAGCATCCATGCTGTGGCAGAGGGACAGCATCTTGCCATGTTTGGCCATTTGGGGAATTAAGGATCAGAGGTCTTTTCTGTTGCTCACCCCTGTGGCATTTAATATCAATCATTTAGCCATGGTTTAGGAGGGAACTGGTACATTCTAGGGGGCCTTTGGAGAGGAGAGACCCAATCTGACACTCCCTCAGTTCTGGCAAATGGCTTAGGTCTGGCAAGTGGTGGCAGGTGATGGTGTCACTCCTGGGGGTCACTGCTTCTGTCTCCTGTTTCCACTGTTCAGCTGTGGAAAAGAGGCATTTCCCTCATGTTCCTGGTCTTGATCTCAGGTTGGGTTTGCTGCTGAGGAGGTAATCAATGGAGTTCTTCCTGAAGTATCTGGGAAATGAAGGTGGATGAGAGAAGGTGATTAGTCCTGAAACTTGCATGTTTCCATGTAATTGACATTGATTTAATTGGTGATTTTTTTAAAGACAAAATTAAATTAAAAATGAACCGTCAGTATCTTCCTTGTGGCTGTTAAGGGTACCGTCCCAAAATGCCGCAGTTTTGAGGCACGGGGAACTGCACCAACACAGGTCTGTTGCTGTGCCATTTTCCTTGGGCTCTGGAGGAGGGGAGCAGGCACCTGGGGGAGCAGTGGGATCAGAAGGAGCAGAAGGCATCAGGCTCATCAGCCCAAGCCTCATCATCCCCTCAGTTACCCAGTTCATTGCAACCACGCCTTGATTTAAATGAGGGTGGTGGTGGAAGAGGCAGATGCCATTCATCCCAGCAGCCATGATCCACATTTGAGGTGGTACACTGGCAAAGCAGATCCTCTATTTTTCCTTCCAGCAGAAGCCTGAGCTGCATTCATCCAAACCAGTATGACAGGCCTTCCTGAAGTGGAAAACAACCCCCCTGGCTGGAGGTATTTAATTTTGCAGATCTTTGGTGCTGAAAAACCAAATCATTGTCCTGTCATGCCTGTAATATTGCCTCCCATAGTTACAGCACATACCAAGCTGTGTAGCTAGGCAGACATCCGGCCTGCATTTCTCCCCATAGACTGTTATAAAAGCCAATTAGGCTGTTACTTAATTTTCCTCCTTTTTTTTTTTTTTCCCATATGCACAAGGGGAAGCAGTTAAAAGTCTCCCCTAGCTACATTATGTAAATTTTCAAGTAAATTCTCCCTGAATTGTAATTCAGCAGGTTTATTGTTAAAAATGTCACTTGACTCCAGCACGTACACAAGGCTGCATCCAGGGAAGGGTCACACATCCTATTAGATGTGTGTAGGTGGGGGAGAGAAGCTCCTCAGCTCCTCCTGTAGCGTTACTCTGTGCTGAGGCAGCAGCAGCAGCGTGTGTGTGGGAGGATGAAGGCGAGGGTAGAGGGAAGCAGGCACGGCCCAGACTATCTTGCTGATATTTATTCGGACTCTAACCACTTCCCAGCCCAGGCTCTGTCTTGGCTGGCGGCTTTGGGGACAAGCAGAGCATCACATAATGCCGACACTGGCAGATACTGAGCAGCCAGCCAGGAAGCAGTGAGGTGAAGAAGTCAGATGAACCCTGCTCAAATTCAGACCTCTGCTTACACAGCTTTTTTTAATAAAGCCCCTCGACATTACTACGTATGGAAGAAAACACTGTAACTGTGGTGGTTTTATTTTATGTGCATTTCTATGCAATTAGTTTTCTTCTGCTCACCTTGTCATACCTAATGTGTGTCCCCTCCCGTGAGATGTTCCCATTGAGACACGTGGGAGCTCAACATGCAAGAATTTGTCTTGGATCTGTCCTATATAGTCGTACTGTGTGCCCAGGTCCTTGGGAGATGAAGAACAGGGGACTGGCATGAGCCCTTTAGTGGTAGGTTGTTTCTGTGGTAGGCTCCATTTTCCCCCACAGAAACCTTAATGCTTTTGTAGGAGATATCACAGCAACTCCACATTCTTTCCAGCAGACTCTTCCTTCTCTTTTAATAGACTTGATACAGCTTCACAGCCAGTTCCTAGCCACTCAGGTGTGATGAAAACTCTGAGCTCTTGGTGTATGGAGATACTGTTTCCCCGTGGAAATCCTACCCAAAGATATGTGGTGATGCTCTGGTGCTGAAATCCAATGATGGAGAGGGATTTCAGCAAAATTTAAAGTGTCAAAGCACCTTGGAAAGGGGTATTGCTGGTTTTCAGAGGCATAGAGAGACTGAACACAGCTCTTGATCTCCCTGAAACTGACCCATGGATTCTGCTTAGATTCATTTGTAGAGTAGTCTGATGTGATTCAGGTCAAAGACATCATCAGAAATAATGAATGCACAATTTCTTGTTTTGCTTGCTTTATGGTTTGATATATTTTTTTTCTAATTATAAGCTTTAGGATACCCGATTATTCTGACCTTTGTTTTTAGAAAATAATAGGTGGACTAGCTTAAGCCGGAGCCTTCTGCAGGAGTCTAAGGGTGGAATTTGAACAGAACAGAACAGAATAAAATAGTTCCAGTTTGAAGTGACCTACAGGTTTGCGACAAATGCTTTGAGTTGGATTAGACCAAATGCCCTCCCTAGGCCAGTCCAGCATAAATTACTCTAGGATCCTAAATGCTTTGAGAAATTTCTTGCAGAACAAGTGAAGGCATGAATTCAAAGTGAAATGGATATTTTGTGATCACTCCTTGATAGAGAACTCTACTCTGCAACTGGGCCATTGGTTCAGCTAAAAGTAGACACACAGTCCTGTATGGTCTGTGTGTATCTGCAGGGGCAGCTGCTGGGAAGCAACAACTCCAGCCTATTTCTCTGGATTCCCCTGTGCATCCCCTGTATTGTACCATCCAAATTTCTTGAGCCACATAGACAGTAATAATACACTCCACAATCTTGTGTGTGATTTCTTGTGCCTCAAGGTAGTGAAGAAGTGGGATGGTTCTTCCACCCAGTACCCAAAGCCTGAACAGAGCATTGAATGAACAGTTATTTGGAAGCGTCTGCCATAGCAGCAGCTTTCTGTAGGTTTCCTTAATGGAATTATCACCATGAACTAAGCCATGACCATCTGTTCTATCCTCTCATTACAAATGCAGGAACAGCTAATTCATGATTGCATCATAAAAAAGTAAATATAAATGATTTAAGAGTAGGGTATGTCATGATTCACACTCTGACTGGGGAAGTGTCTCTCTTCAATAGACTGACTTCCCTGATAACAGAGTTTGCCTCTTTCCCAGCAAACGGGAATTCCTGAGGAAAAGGCCTTACCAGAACAGGTTTTATTTCCAATCATTCATCTTAGATGCATTTTTAAGTCTGGGATTCACATAAGTGAAGGTCTGAATCTTCTTTCCTTCTCTCTTAGGTGAGTCCCCAAGGTTTATTTATAATGAATTTTTTAATCAGGGAAAGGACAAAATCATGCTCTTCAAAATCCCCCCAGAGTCTGCATTTCCTCCATCTCACCTTCATTTAGATGCAGGCACTTCTGGAAGAGTCACCCAGTGGTTTTGTGCTGGTGACTCACCTTCACTGCAGTGCTTTTGGCTAGAAGATAATTAGAAAGCAAGAGGCTGAGTGTGCATTCCCTGCTTCTTACAAATGACCTTCAGATCTTTTGTACTTCCACTGTCCCAACCACCAGCAGCAGAAAGGGTTTAGCTAGGAATTCACGTTCTGATTGACTTGTGTTGTGAGAGTAAGACCTCTTGGCAGCATCTGTCCTCTGGAAATCTTCTACTAAAAATGGAAGTATTTGAATAAGTTAAGAGGTCAAGAAGTAATATCTTGGTCTTGTATTTTTTTTATGTGGTTCTTCCTCCTGCAGCCAGCACCTCTTACCAGTGTGAAACGTCGTGCCCTGGGTCTGCAGCAGCTTCAGCAGAGCTTTCAGCACCCCTAAAGACTGTTACCTGGGTTGTGGGGGAGTTGGATGGGGCACTTGAACACACTGCCAGCTCCCTGTGAGAGACACCTGCCTTGTGGCCAGACAGGAAGGCTGAACTTGCCTCTTGATTTCACTAGGGAAGGAACTATGGAGTAATGAACAGGGCTGTTGATAAACTACACGGATAGTGGAGGGTGTGAAATATCTAAAAATTATTTGGTATCTGTGGTTTTGGAGGCTGTTTCGTTTGGGTTTTATTTTCCCAGTTATATAAAAGTTATATAAAACCAGGCTGTGATTTTATCAAATGTATGTGTGATTTGAAAAATGAGCAACATGTATTAAGGCAGAAGCAGTGCAAGAGACTCTAGTTCAAAAAACTGCTTAAGGGATGTGCAGGTGCACAGTG